ATGGTGCCAAACCCAAGTCTGAAAAAGAGGAGTATTATATAGCTATGCTGCTTCTTTTCCTTAAGAACTTGGCACAAATTGTGTTAGATTATACTAAGTAAAATGACAGCTGGGTGTCTTGATTAGGTCTTTTGAATCCAAATCATTTCTTTATCTACTGTTAAATGGAGTTTAAATTAGACTGTTCACAGAGATCCACTTTTAATGGCTTAGGTTATAATTACATATGAGTCCAAGATACAGAGAGGACTATATATAATTACATACAGACAGGGCTTTTTTTGTCATAGAAGGCCCAGAACGGAGTTCCGGCACCTTTTTTGGATGGAACCTTGTAGGGTAGGCAAGGCGAGTTCTATGACATGGGTGAGTTCCGGCACTTTTTTTTTTTTAACAAAAAAAGCACTGCATACAGAAGTCGTGACTATTTGTTCCAAATTGGAGAGTGGAATAGGTGGGTCGTAGTCTCATACGTTTTATTTCCAGCTAGAGTGGGGAAACAAACCTGGCCAGGAAAATGAAAAAGGCTCATCAAATGAAACACTGACAGTGACTTGTCAATGAACCCAATTCCACCGAAACACGCTTACATCTATCACCCCTCTCTCCTCTTTTTTTTTTTTTTGAAAAGCCGGAAAGGCAAACGAATGCCTCAAAGCTTGGCAGGCAGCCAAACTATCCTTTTAAATTCCCTAAGCCTAAGCGCTTCGTACAGAAATCGGCCGGCGACGGCCGGGCGACGGGACGGGAGGCTACAGCGATCTTTGCACTGGCAACGCGGGGCAGCTGTTCGAAGCAACCGGCTTCAGCCGCGCGCCGCCCAGCCGCCGGCGGTGGACACGTGCAAGCATTTCCCAATAGCCAGAGAGCGGGGAGGCAGCCCTGCCAAGGCTCTTCCTAGAGCGGCTCCTTCGATCCCCGCGCCCGGGGCTCGGAGTGACGCACGTCGCGTTGGAGCAGAAAGGCGGAAGGTAAGAGAAGCTTCGCAAAGTCTCCGCTGGGCTTGGCTGAAAGTGCGAAGTGGGCAGCCGAGGGCAGTTGCGTGCGGGAAGTTGGTAAGAGCGGTTGTCGCCTTCGGCTTGCTTTCTTCTCGCTCCTTGCCCAACTTTCTCTCCCTCCCTTCTCCAGCCTTTAAAAATAAACGGCGCTCTGTTTGAGCGGGTGGCTCTTGTCCCTCCCTTGAAGTCGGAGAGCGCGCGGTTTATTCCCCGGGGAGCTCGTTGATGCAAAACGGCACCTCAGTCCGCGTTGCCTTGCCTTGCCGCGGAGACTTTGGCACCGCGGCCGGTGACTTTAGGGCGGTCGGGAGGCGTCTTGAGGGCTCCGCCTCCGTCCGGGAAGAATGAAAGGCCCCGGAGAAGCAGTTCTTCCTTCCCGGACTTCCCTGCCGCCCCCGGTTCCCCATTCGCGGCCTTGATTCTCCAGCAACTCTCGGGAACCATGCCGTTTGGACCAGCTCGGCCGAGTAACGTCTAAGGCTGGGTCCCGTCGTCGACCTGGCGAGGCGGGCGAGACGCAGCTGCTTAGGCGAGCAAAGGGAGTCCGGGCGAGCGTTGCTCGACTGCCGCGCGCGGAGCCCGAAGCTATGCTCCGCTCACAGCAGGGCTCTTACTCGAGCGGAGGAAGCGCCCGAGGATGCCCGCCGAGGAGCTTAACGCTACCACTTTGAAAGATGCTCGGTTGAAAGACCTGCTTTTTCACAGAGGTATTCTAGCAAACTCCCCCCCCCCCCCCGCCGCCGCCACCGCTCTTTAGCCCTTGGCTTTGTCATTTCTTCTGAAGGCTCCCTTTAATTGTACGGGTGACTCGGTGCTACATTTCGTCAAGTCGGTTATTTCTCTCTGTGGTTCTAGACGTGTGGGTCACACGGCACCCCCTCTGGACCCCCTAATTCAGAAGTGGGTAGTGTGGCATCTCCTTATGCTCTGGATCTAACTGCGCATTAGGCCAGACTATGGCCAACGGCAGGGGAGGCTTCCCAGACTGTCTGGAGGGAAGGCTACTTTCCTCCGGCCTAATGAGTCATTTTAGTTGGCCCTGTTTACAATCAGGGCAGCTGAATAATAATTAAAAAAATGTCTGCTTCCACTTTAATGCAGGCCTCTTGGTGACAATGTCTATGTATAGCAGAGATTTGTATTTATTATAGACCAACGAGCAAATGTATTAGAATAACGTCAAAAATGAAGATTTAGAAAAATTATCTTGATTTGTATCTTTGGGCTTTAATATATTTTTTTGTTTTATTTTCAGCTTCACTTTTTTCTGTTTTCCCAAAAGCTACGAGATATTTTAGCAAATCTTTGTAAGATGCAAGTCTCTTCTAACATTATTGTCTTAATGAGAAATTATTCACTATCAATAGATTTTTACACTTACACATACCCTCTAATCATGTTTTCTTACTGAGTTTGATAAAAAAAGGGGGAGAAAGGACTAAGCCATCTCTTTATAATTTGTAAAATAGAATTTGCAAAACCAATTATTTTGTAATCCAAATTTCCTGGCTAGAGATTGTCTCCCTCCATTCTTGCACTTGCAATTAAATAAGTTTTGTGTGTCATGGTGATGTTCAGACAAAAAGAGGAAATGCTTCTTTGTAAAAAGAGGAAATGCTCCTCTGTAAAAATATTCAGAGCTCTTGATTTAGTTTAGAAAGCTACATTTTTGGCAGATGCAGAAGTAATGGTATTCCATCTATCCCTGTATTCTAGGAAAGCTAAATCAACAATATTAAAGTTACTCATGTCTGTTTCATAATAATGCAGTTGGCTCAACTGTTGGGTTATGGGCCTTTAAATTAGGTAATATTCAGAAATCCTTTATTCAAAGATAGTTGCTTTTAAAACTGAAACTTGTCTTCTAGGAGAGAGAGTGACAGGATACAGAATCAAAGAGAACATTTTGTAGCTTCCTGTCACTAATCAAAAGTATAAGGGCCTGGAAAAAAAAATGTACAGTTGCATATAGAGTTCTTGAGGAAAGCAATAGAGATCTGTAATTGGCTGGATTAAAATTGTATCTAGCTAATACAAATTATTGTGAGAAAGTAGCTTGTAAATCAGAAAAGGATAAATGATTTATTATATTTCTTCAAATCATATATATGTTTTAAGAGTGTAAATAACTTACAATATGTAGGGAAATATGATCTCCTGCACTGTGTTGTCTATTCAGGAAATGTGACTTAGAACATGTGCCCTTATTGAAAATGTTGATAGGTTCAACATTTTCAACATTTCAGTCCTAACCATTTATACCTTTCACTATTAATAGGGAGGAAGTTGACCAATACTCTTTTTAAAGTTGTTAATTCTTATTCTTTCCCAAATTATTAGAAGCAATTCTTAATGCCAGAAAAATAATTCACTGTGTTTTACATTTACTAACCCCAAGTTACAAGAAAAGAAATGCGGATACACTCTTCTATATGCTTTCGTATAATTATTTTTAGAATTAATTTTAAAAGTAGACATTCCTTTTGTGAAACTGAAGATATTTGTGAATTACAGAATTTATTGCAAGAATTATAATATTTAACTTGTTAGCAAAATTATGTATTTTGCCTTTGATTCACCATTTCCATTACAAAGTACATATTGGCAATGGTCAAAGGCATGTTTTGGTTGAACAATGGCTGAACTCTAGTTTATATGTGGGCAAATGAAGGCTTGAATTTTGCAGAGTTCTTACACATAGGAACAAGTACATTATCAGTCGTTGATGTGCTTTTTTCTGTTAATTTTAACAACTAAAGGTGTGATTCTTCAAAATTAATGATGCGACTGGTTTGTCCCAAAGTGCCATAGTTTTAATTGATGCTGTAATTGAATCCAAGCAGTGTAAAGCAATTATGATTTCCAAAAGGAAAACATTTATAATGCCCAGGGGCGTTTTTTTTTTTTTTTTAATCTTAAAGACTTTTTAGGGGCATTGTGACTTTGAAAAAACACAGTGACTTTCTAGGTTAATCTCTCATCACCATGGTTTCACTGAAATACAAAAACAAAAAAACAGCGATCCAAGCAAAAGCAATCCTTGATCATTTTGGTTGTTATTGCCTTTAATATAGCATTGCCTATTAAGGATTTGTTTTTCTTAAACTGAATCCTTCTGGTTATTAATCTCCACTATAAAATAATAGTAGGAATAGGTGGTTGCACATATGAGTATAATAGCAGTAATAGTAATAGAGTGTTAGGATGGTTTTCTTCTGTGATCTGTTCTTTTTACTAATATGTAATACTTAGCATATTTTTACATAGCCGGAGGAGAATCCTTAGAACTATTTGTGGAAACATTTGTGTGAAGACTGTGTTTCTTTAAAAATGTACAACTTTACAAAATAGCATATCAATTTTGGCCATTTTTGTTATCTTCTTATAGAATGAGGTATGTGACCTGTTGCAATAATAAATAGTATTTTTAATATCTGTCTTTTTCTGCCTTGAAGGATATGTTTTCACACAGTCCTATTATTGCTTACTTTGAGTATGCTTGCTATATACTTTCTAAATGTAATAAGAATTGTATAACCAAATGTTATAACAATTATCCCATTGCAGTTAAGCTTTTTTATATTTTATTATATGCTTGATCTAGGTCTGTTTCATTAATTACCCTGAGGGCTAAACTTGATGAAATAATTTCTAAAAGAAATCATGATTACATTGAATTGTGAGATGTGTACTATTACAGATCAAAACTCAAAACATGGTGAACTGACTTTTGGAGAGGAGCAAATCCCAATACTGAAGACATAAACAATTCATCTCTACTATTTCAGTGCTATTTAGTACCTAACTATCCATAAACAATTTATTTGTCTTCTGCATCTTGGGAATATTTTCATTACTGCACAGAATATACATTTTTCTTTGACACATTGTGCAGTTTATATGTATCAGAAAATCTATTGGGGTTTTGTACCTCCTATTTTGTTAAGTGCTGTTTCTTGTTTGTTCTGGATTTAAATGATACCATTTTTCTTTTCCCTACAGCGGAACTAGAGTTTATTCAGATTATCATCATCATAGTGGTGATAACTGTTATGATAGTAGTGATCATCTGCTTGCTGAATCATTATAAAGGGTCAACAAGGTCCTTCATCAGTCGGCAGAGCCAAAGCAGGAGGCAAGAGGACTCTTTACAACCAGTGAGTTTAAATTTTTGCATATCACTTTCCTTAGGTACAAGAAGCAATTCTTTTGTAGCAGTTTGCTTAATCATTTTCACTTGAGACATTCCACATGTATTAGGACTTCATCTCCTGCTGAAATAGAGGACTTCAGTACAGCTAGAGGACACCTGGTGGCAATTTTCTTGCTTGTAGGCAGTTCAATGCTAAGCGAAGGAAATAATAGCAATAGTCTCTGATGGATCTCCATATTATTTAATCAAGTTGGTTTTTCACTTTATGCTGATTGATATAGCAAAATATGTTATTCAGGACGTAGGTTGTCTTCCTGGAGCTGATACCTAGACTGAAACATGGACGGTGTTTATATATTGGTTATGCTTTGAAGGTAAAGATGGTCAGCAATCGGATGACTTCATGGACATATTGATACTGTTTTCTTGACAGCTATATGGCAATGGTTTTGCCAATGCCTTCTTACATGTTCTTTTTAACTTTACAGTTTAGCCTACACCCTGATCTTGTACTAACCAGATTAAACTTTATTTAACTTTCCAAGAGTCTCAAAGACCAGCTAATACTTTTGTTGTTTTTGAAATTACTTGTACAGCTTTGAAATCTCATACTCTGCCCCAAGAGAGTTGGGACAGTCATTCTGTTAGGTTCCTATAGGTGAATTAATTGGAGAGAAACCAAGTTTTATGCATAATCGAGGCTTTATTTTTTTAATCTCGGTCCCAAGTGAGATTTGTCTTCTGTGAATAGAGGCTGTGTGCCTATTGAACAAAGAAAGATGTCAACTGTTGCTAAAAGCAGAAATAGAAATGACACTATGTGAGGTAGAAGAAACTTTGCCTTTTTGTTTTACTGACTTCTGCTTTGTTTTTTTTAAAACAAGGCAGAAGTAGATAAAACAAAAAGGCAAAATATATTGTTTTGACTGCTCTTTCAATTAATTAAGAAACTCTTGCAAAGGTTAAAGAAAGGATAGTTTATTCCCCTCTGGAAAACCTCTTGATGCAGGAAAAGTAGGTTTGACCAGACATAATTGTTTCCTTAAAAAACAAACCTTTAAAAAAATAATCTACTTTCATTTTAATGATTGGGTGTGGTTTCATGTGCTGTGTGGGTATTTATTTTAGGTCATTACAGCAATCTAGTTTCATAGGGGAAAAGAATAATTGGGACACAGACGGCTCTTAGTGCCTATCAGCTAGTCCTTAAAGAACCTGCATCTTGCACAGAAGGAAATTACATGTTTGGTTTAGGGTGGTCACCATGTGTGCACCCATGCACACTTCCCAAAATCTGTTTCCTTTCTAATCCAAATTTCTGCATAGGCCTTTTAATCTTATTGACTGCCCATCTTCAAGGGAAATGGGCAGTTAAGAAGTATCAAATATAAATAATGGAGGTGCAGATTGTAGTATTAAATTTAGAAAATTTGCAGATTAATAATGCTTAAGGCTACTCAAACTTCTCAGCTGTGAAAAAACTTATATGCAAACCTTTTTTTATTTTTTAATGGATTCATATTTGAAATAAAGGTGTTCCCTTAGATTCTGCTAGGGCACGACATTAATTTTTTAAAAGAAAATCTGTCTTACATCATTGCAGGTTTATGAATAGATAAAATGTCTATCTCTTCCTCCTACTCCTTAAATTCATAATTATTGTTACAAGCACTAGCTATACTGTGAAAGGCTTACAGCAGACCACCTTGAATAATCATCATGTGAAGAAGCTGCCCTGTGGTTGCAAACTATTAATCCATTTGGATCCATTGTCAGCTTTGTACAGCAGTAATTTCAGTAATTTGCATCTCACGGTGTTAGATAAGAGTTTCTCAACTTTGGCAACTTTAAGAAGTTTGGACTTCAACCCCCAGAATTCCCCAATCAACATGCTGACTAGGGAAATTCTGGGTTTTGAGGTCCACTCTTCTTACGTTTATCACGGTTGAGAAATACTCTATTAGATTGTGGGATAAAGAGGAGGGGTAGTTCTGCAATAGAATGGTAAAACAACTATTTTCAGTAGGAAGGTAAAAAATAGGAACAGACATTTCCTCATAGCAGTTGCTGAGAATTGGACAGATTTCAGCTGATAGAGGAAATAGGGAGGACAGGATTGTCAAATTGCGCTCTCATCAGTCCTTTCATTTTCTTTAGAATTACTTTCAGACATTTGTGCATTGAATCAGCCTATGAGTAAGGGCATGAGTGTTCTGACCTCATCCTTCCTCCTAACACTACTTACTAGTTTGGACTACTGCTGGACGTTTGTTTATATGGATGTCTGCCTGGCAGAAGCCTTCGTATACAATTATAAGCCTTGAAGTTTGGGAAGGGCATATTATTGATCCTGCCCAGGTATCAGAATCAACCACCAACTTCACATTTGAAAAATAGATTTTTAGGTAATATAATAGACTAAAAGGAAAGCAGTAATAAATGAGTAGCAATAATGTATATTCCCCTTGTTACAACTTTAGCCATTATATAGCACTATATGAGACCCAGTTTGATGTGACAGGTAAGGTATCAGGCTAGAAACCAGGAGACTGTGAGTTCTAGTCCCACCTTATGCACGAAGCCAGCTGGATGACCTAGGACCAATCACTTTGAGCCCTAGCAAGGAGGCAATGGTAAACCACTTCTGAAAACCTTGCTGAGAAAATTGCAAGAACTTGTTCAACATCTTTAAAAAACACACATGATTGAGCAGAAGAAAAAAAAAGCATATATAGCCTCATTGTTTAAGAAAACAGACAACATAAAATTACAATCTTGTGAAAATATTTTCCCAGAATTTTTTCAGGTTTTCAACAAATTTCACTTTCATTTCTAATTTATTTCTGTTTATGTGATTCTATATTTTTTCTTGAATTTGTCAAATACAACTTTTCTCAAACTATGTGCTTAGAATGCCTTGTCCATTTTAATGCATTATGAACACATACTTCAAAGAAATATTTTTAAAGAAATAAAATGGGTCTCTTCTCTGCCCCAAGGGAGAGTTAGACAGTATCTAGGACAAAAGGCTTTGGTATGCAGCAGTGATATTCAGTATTTAAGACCTCTTGCTGCCATCTAGAGTTAACATTAAAAATAACACTCTACCCCATTTATTGATGAAGGCAACAAAACTTTATACATATATTAATTACAGTGAATATTTTTTGTGACACGCACACTTTTAAGACTGCTGAAAGAATCTAGTATTTACAAATATTTAAAAATGCATGAATGTTAGACAAAGATATATGTGCTTCATTGTTGCAAAACATCTTTATGATAGGATGTATAAAAATTTCCATCAATGAGCCATGCCCACTTTTGTTTGTGATTCAGAAGCTTTAACCTATAATCATATCATCTCTATTTTAGTCCAAGGTACAGATCATATGTATGTTTAACAGATGAATTGTTGAATGAATATAATCCTGTAAAGTGGAGTGGAAGAAATAGTGGAGGAGAAAACTCTTATTTGATCCCAGATTATTTGTTTGGCCATGGCAAGTTGCACCCAGCAGCTGCATTCTGGCATGTTCTATATATCAACACTTAATTATAATGGACAATTAATTGGTGGAAGTCTGTTCCCACCTATTTTTATTTCTGTACTCTATAAAATCTTGTTTATTTGAATATTTTCAGTTGCCACTGTGTTTCTCTATTAAATAAATACTTGTCAGCAAATGTGTTTGTTTTAGTGAACATCTTAAATCAATTTCCAAATCTCATATTAGTGATTTTGGTGGCCAAATCGTGCTTTTCAATTTTATTCATGAATGACTTACTTTATATAGTGGTTTAGGCAGAATTAGTAATATTTTACAAATCATAATACAATACAGGCACCATTAACATTTTTTTGTTTGTAGAATGTGGCAACACTAAATTTACTTAAATTTAAAAATGCATTGGCTCCAAATTCCTAAATTCTTTTATATTATCCATGCTCGCCCTTTATTAAAACTCACACTGATACACTTAATGATCTTTGCTGCCTGCTGCTTTGATTGACATGACAGTAGCTTCCTGCTGTTTTCAGGAGGGCTTGTACTTGTGTATGCACATTGGGTTTCATATGAGACAGAATTCTGCACAGAATCTTAACTAATAAGGAAAACAAGGCATGCTTACTTCTACAGGCAATTACATTGATGTTAGGAAGAAAGTGGACATCACTAGAACAATTTCCAGCATTTATCTAGAACAAACATATAATGTGCACTTTGAATTTGTAAGAGGACTATGCTTTGTCTTCAAAGAGAAAAATAGTGTGCTGGATTGTGCATGATTGTATACGTAGCACCAATAAGAATATGACTTTTCCCAAGATTAGACTATTCAGTGGAGAGTGGTCTGATGTTGGATAATGAAATGTCTGCAAAAAAACAACCAACCTCGGAGAGCACGAAGGATCCATCATTTCAACCTTGAGCTACAAATATTCTTCATATAAGTTTGAATTCACTTTCACATTATTTATTTATATTTATTTATAACATTAATTTGCCGCCCATCTCATATCCATGGATACGAGATGTAGACATTCATGGCATTTTTAGTATAAGCACAATAACTGAACAACCATTGCATTTCTAATAATTAAGCCATAATTTTATTCCCACTGATTATATTTAAAAATTGGATCCAGATCCTAGACGAAAAGAGTACATTGACAAAGTGCTATGTATATGGAAGCAAACTCTTATTTGTACAGATTTTTTGTGAGGGTAATTTTGTTAATTGTGTCCCATGGCTTCAGGAAATGGGGTCTTAACTCAAAGATTCTTCAAATAAACATTAAGTGAAGATGCTGAGTTAGGGTATTCAGTGGAATGAAGCACTTGCTTCAGTGCTTTCTTGGTGGTGGGTGAAAAGATTAAAGGTCCTTTATTTAAAATTATGTCATCTTTTAAACATGTAAATAGATTAAAACCTTTGCTATTTCATGTCTGCATGGTAGTTATAAAGAAATATGAGACATAGACATAAGAGATGAAAGCATATAATACTATGAGCTCTTTATAATAACTTTTTATTTGTATAGATTTGTATAGATTTGTATAGAGTTTCCACAGTAACTAGGTCAGAAATGTTGCATGATGATTAGGATTTTGCATATGAAATGCTTGTTATTGCTGACACCACCTACCCCTCCTTGTTACTGTTTTCTATAGGTTTTTTTTAAGTTGTATAACTTTTAGAAAAGCAAAATTCTAGAAACATTTTCATATTCTAAGATGCAAGGGCCAACTTCACTTAGATTTAATAATGTAACAAACATGACCTGCCAATACGTTTTTAATGCCATCCCCATGACATTATTTCCATCTGTTTTTATCTCATGAGACAGATTAGCAGTACAAGTTTTAAAGTAATATATTTTGCTATATTCTGCATCAATCAAGGGCAGCCACAAAATGCAAAAAAAAAAAAATTGTTAGGCTTAGTTCAGTGACAGTTAGATGACAGTACTGACTTGAGACAATGCTGATAGGTGCAGGATAGGAATCAGGAGTGGGGACTGCTAATTGTAGATTGATTTATTTAGAGTTGAGAGCACTTCAGCTCAGCAGTGGAGAATGATCTATAGCAGCGGTTCTCAACCTATGGGTCGCGACCCCATTTGGGGTCGATCGACCTCTTTTGTGGGGTCGCCAAACGCGGCGATCCGCCATTTTGTCGCCTCCGGGGGCGCGCCGCGCGCGTGGGGGGCGGCACGCCTCCGGGGGGCGGTGCCACGCATGCGTGCCGCGCATCAGCGGCGGCGCGCCTCCGGGGGCGCCGCCGTGCATGCGCGCCGCGCGTAAGGGGGCGCCGCCGCGCATGTGCGCCGCGTGCGGGGCCCCGCCCCCATGCGCGCATGCCCATAACGTTTGTGTGACGGGGGTCGCCGTCACACAAACGTTGAGAACCGCTGATCTATAGCCTTGTTAGAAGAACAAGTGTGTTTTGTTCGTGTATATGTATATTTGAGGGTAAGTTGCAAAAGTAGTGTAATTTAAGTATATGATGTTAAACTAGATGATATCAAAAGTATATGCAAAGTAGGTAGGTAGAACTAAACACAGCATACAGTATAGTGAATATCACCTTGTCTCTGTAATCATGCTACACACCTTATTGAACAGGCAGTTCTTAGGATCTTCAGTGAAGTTTTGGAATAACAACAACAACAACAAAAACTTTATTGTCACTTTGAATCAGCATACATCAAAATGAAATTTTGTTGCATACAGCTCTCAAAGGGCCACCACCTCCGATATACACTCCTTGTTCGTGGCCAGCTCAAGTTTCAGAACATCCATTTTAGTCTCTAGGGAGCGAACGATGGCAAAAACGGAACTCCATGTGGATTAGCCCTCAAATTAGCTTGTATTCCTACACGACAACCTTGCTCCTTTTCTTTTTCTGATCTTGTCCTTAAAGGGGCCTCTCTCCTTTTCACCCCTGGAGCACGCTATTGCCCCCATCTCCAACTCCTCCAAAAGCCTCTCTCCCTTCCTCTGGGCCTGCCGATAGCCTCATCCAATTCCTTTGCTCCATAAGCCCCGGGACCTTTCCTCCTCTGCCTCCTTCGAAAACAGCCCTGATTTGCAGTAGAATCCATTACTGTGCCAGCAATCAGATCTTATTGCCGGCAGAACAATTTCAAACAGTGCAAACGACTTTTAATGGTCTCACCATTAAACAGCTAAAAACTTGCCATACCAGCAAAGATTGTCGGTCGTATGTTAGCTTAGTCCCACTGTGTTGCTCAAACACATTAAAACCTTCCCGATCATCCGGCCTATATCCCTTATATCCCTCCCAAAACTTTTCACCTTCGCGAGCCAATGCACCTGCAGCTGATCCAGGCGCCGACATCTTAGTTTGCAGAAGATCTTATTCTCTTGATCTTTATGACTTAATACTCTGCCCAAGCCTCTATTACAGTGTAGGTTCCACCTTACAGTACATGGAAAAATTCATATATGGAGGAATTGTGCTTGCTGCAGACAATTTCCTGAAACCTGTCATACTCATTCATTAATTATTGTTTAATAAAGTTATTGCACAGCAGAATTTCCAGTCCAATCATATTGGAAGGGAGGGATCGCTGTTCTAAAATAGTGTTATAATCCAGGGTTATGAACTTGAAGGAAGCTTTTTCTCACCGGAAAGTCATTGAGATCCAGCTATTCTAGGAGATATTTAGGAACTAGTTAGAAAAATGAAATCAAGTGCTCGTGCATGTACACACACACACACACACACACACACACACACACCCCACACAAATTAAATGATACTTTATCTTAGTGCTTGGTTAAATTATGTTATACTTTCTGTTTTGTTACCCTATTTGGGAATGTGCAATGCTTATAGTCAGTTGCAACTGAATTATGTTATGAGCTTGAGTAAGAAATAAAAATGAAGTCTATAGATTTAGCATCATAGGCCTTAGAGAAAAACACACTCACTACAAAATCAGCCCCAAGCTATTATGGCACAAAGTAAGAAAAAAGTCCAAAATGTGTATGCTTCAGTAGAGATACACTAAGGTTGAAGTTTAGGTAATCCTCAAGTTATGACAGTAACTGACCCTGGCAATTACAGTCATAATTCATGATGGTTATAAAGCAGGTCACCATGCCACCAGACATGGTTTTAAGACCTTTTCCACAGTAGTCTTTAAGTGAATGTGATGGTAATTGAGCAAATCCATTGATAATTATAGGGCTTTTTTTTCCTGAAAACCAGAATTAAACATCATTTTCCAGAAAATCTGTCATAAATTATGGTGACATGACCACAGGGTTCTCCATATGGCCGTAAATGTAGACAAGATGCTGAGCATCCAAAATGTGGTCATGTGGCCATAAAGAGGGGCTGACATCAGAACTCCAAAACCAAGTTTAAGTAGCTTTTTGGAGGTCTGTCAGGACTTCAAATAATCATTAAGTGACTGGTGATAAATTGAGGACTACCTGTAAAACACATAAGTGGCATGTAGCTCTTAAATCCTGAAGCTTTTTTTCCCTTTGTGTCCTAGGAGGGGTGTCTGTGGCCTTCTGACAGTTCATCTTCTCGACAGGGACCTTCAGAGGTAAGTCTCAGAGGGAGCACAAGAGATTTCTTCTTATTTTGAAATTTCAATTATTTGATTTTCTAATGGGGGGGACGGAAACAATGTAGTATGGAAGTCACATGTGGCATTGTGGCAATTATGTTGCTGCTCTTGACTGTAAATATATAGATTTCAGAAAGCATTATGGAAGGAAGAGAAAGTTGATTGCTGTGGTGGCACATTTACCTGAGCTTCAGTTTCCCTGTGATACTGTATTGACAAATACTGTGAAACGTACATGGAACATTGCATAGGAATATGCTTTCTTAAGGAATTGTTCTGATTTTAGGTAATTTTGTAAAGCAATATAATACGGTCTCCTCAGGAATCTTTTTCCCTCTGAAATTGTTTCAACACCAAATTGGATGTTTGTGTGTGTGTGTGCATGTGTGCGTGCCCAAAATATTGCATGCCTTTCTGAATATTTTTTAGGTTTTGACTATACTGATTGCTTTACATTGCAGATTATGTATGCCCCACGTTCCAGGGACAGATTTACTGCTCCATCTTTTCTGCAGAGGGAACATTTCAGTCGCTTCCAGCCAACGTATCCATATGTGCAGCATGAGATTGATCTGCCTCCTACAATCTCTCTTTCTGATGGTGAAGAGCCACCACCGTACCAGGGGCCATGCACTCTGCAGCTTCGGGATCCAGAACAACAGATGGAACTTAACAGAGAATCCGTGAGGGCACCTCCAAACAGAACTGTATTTGACAGCGATTTGATAGATGTTTCGGTATACAATGCGGGCCCTTGCCCACCAAGCAGCAATTCGGGAATAAGTGCAACCAATTATAGCAGTAATGGAAGGATGGAAGGACCACCCCCAACTTACAGTGAGGTCATGGGGCATTATCCGGGTTCCTCTTTTTTCCATCACCAGCAAAGCAACGCGCCTTCTTCATCACAGAGGGGGAGCAGACTTCAGTTTCAGCAGAACAATTCAGAGAGCACAATAGTCCCTATTGAAAGCAAAGACAGGAAACCAGGAAACTTTGTCTAGTTTCTTTTTCCATGTGCACTTGAAGAGAGACGGGAGAATCAAACAGGAGCATAAGGGAAGCTTCTATGCCCCTGTGCACAATGTTGTTAAAAGTTTCACGTGACACAATTTAGTAAAACCAAACGTACAAAGCTGTTCTTTATTTCCAATTCCTTTAAGGGGAATTGCATGAAAATTGTTTTGAAATAATTGCAACCTTCCATTCAGTTTGGCCATGAGCAGTGTTTTTTAAAAATATATTATTTTTTTAATAACGTATTTGAATTATTTAATTTTAAGAAATAACTTAGGCACAGAGATATGCCTCGATTGGCCTGTTTTATAGTAAGTTAAAGGCTAAAACAGGAGAATAAGAAAGATTACTAGCTAAATGGGGGCAAAATTGGCCAGTTTGCTTTCCCTCCCTTCTCCCAGAATATATAATTTCTTTTTTCCTGTTTCCACATTTATGTTGTGTGCCAAGTTTTTTTTTTTAAAAAAAACTAAATGAATACAAGGAGTTAATTTGTGTTGTGATACTAGTGTGTTAAATTTGCACTATCTTTCATGTTTTAAATATCTACGAGGGAACTGTTTTACCTTAGGTTCTTCTATAAGGTGTCTTTTCACCTGTGCAAAGATTATTAGCCCCCAGGCCTCTATTTGCCCAGGCCTCTATTGATGATCCCCATTTTGGGGGATACAGATTTAAGTAGGTTTCTTATCATTTTACATAACTGAGAATAAATGATAGAAGACATTTTAACATGTTACTGTTGCAATAATTTTGCATTTAAATAGGGTATCAGCAAATTGTCTTAGAAATTTATAGGTGGAAGAAAGCAAATGTGAAAATACAGCAGCACCTTCTTTAGGTGGTTTTAGCTATAAGCCATTTGTTTCACTAGAACAGATTAAATGCCACATTTACTTTTTTTTTGTAACTACAGCTATATCTTAACTGCTTGTCACCCTTCTTTTTACACAATTCAGTGTCAGCAGTACTTAAAGCTTTTGCAAATTTTTATCTTCAGTGTAGTCCATAATATATTCAGTCATATAGCCTTACATCATACAATAAATGATTTTAAAAGTACAACATGGATTCTGCTGTTAAATTATAATTTTGTTGTTTAATATTAGTTTTTGTGTTTTACTTTCTAAAGACAATGATCTGTTCTCAGTCTGTATTTCTTAGCTGATAATGTGGGAATAATTGATTGCAGAATGCTACCAGAAATTGCTTCAGAGTATTAATCGGTTTTACAATTGGTTAATGTTATTCTTCTGCATCAAGCTGGTTTATATCTATTGTGCAAGCAATCATATAATGTTTTAGATCTTCTTTTCTTAATTGACATTTCTTATCCTCTTGAATGCTACATTAGGACTGCTCCAGTTTTTAGACTTGGACTCAAATATTCCAGCAACTTTGATCTGTTTTGGAATCCTAGGTTATTGGCTTTTATGCTTGGTCATATGTTTTTAGTAAATTGAAAGAGTTTTGAAGGAAATGGTTTTCAATTCAAAAGCACAGCTAAAGCACAACAGGCACTTCAAATATGGTTAGCAAATGAACTTTAAAAGAAAACAAAAAAAATCTAGAGTACTAATATTCTGGGCAAAATTGCAATTGCACACAAGTTTCCTTCAAATTTCCCTTTTCTATGGTTTTTATAGGCAACATTTTCCTAATTGAAATAGTGTAACAAGTACATCAACTGCACTCTAGTAATGTACTGTATTGATACCTTTGTTCTGTTTACAGAATTTTTTCTCTTTCTGGAGGACTTCTATAAACTGAAGTAAGTTAGACTAAAATCTGGAATCTGAACTTAGTTTCTGATCTATGCAGAGTTTTTATGCCAAAATAGCATGTGTGATGGATGTGTGTTTTAATTCCATATCTGGAAGCATTCATGAATCTTAAAATGGCTTCTGAACTTGATGATCGAAAAAATCCTTAAATAACAATTCTTTTCTAAAAATAGAATCCTGTTTTTGTAATTGGCTAGAATGTCCTTATTATGTAGCCATGGATTAGAAACTATTTTTTTGATCCTTGTAATCTCTGGTGATTCATATATCTGTCATGTGATAAGTGTAAGCACTCTCTGAAACAGCCGTTACAAGTTGGCATCTTCAAAGTTCTCATATTTGGTGAACATTTTTCTTTCAATGGATGTGAATACCAATATTACTTGGTATTGCCCCTTTAAACATGTAAGACTGATGTTCAGTGAATCTATTTTTTGAAACCTTGATTTCCAAATGAAAATTCTCTGAACTAAAACTCAGAATGATATAGTCATATATATGACATATTTTAAATTATAACATGGGTTTAGCTGAGAGAGCAAAAGAGCAAAACTCATGGTTAATACAGTTTATAGTTATTAAAAATTCATTGTATGAATGGATAATTAATCAGCCCTACTTTTTGACTTTGGAAGTTGTCAGTCTTAACTGGAAACTCTTGAATATGTGGGTGGGAAGTGGGTGTAGTGATTAAACTGCTTGAAATTGAATTTTATGTACTTTTTATTCAAAATGCTATTTCATAAAAAGTAATTTTATTTGATGTTAAGCCCAATTTTAATTTAAGCACTCTTAACTTTAAGATTATTACTAAAAAACTCCCTCAAACTGCTAAACTCTATTTCTTTTATTTTCCCCCAAAAATGTTTTATTATTTTGGTCCTGTTATTGCTGAAAGCTCTGGGTAGTTCTTGTATTAGGATTCAGAACGTACTAAGAATGTACTACAATGTGTAGGAACAGATACTTACCTTAGAAATGACCTCTCCTTATGCAATGTAATTTCTGGAGCTTGCTTTAAATAATGCCATCTTAGAAAAGTGCCATAACAATCTCAGAAGGTTGATTTGATGTTTATTTTATTCGCTTTTTCCTTCCAACTCTTTTTCGAACCTGCACCTTTGTATTATCTTCTACTTCTACTATCATATTTATATTTCCCAGAAATGTTGTTTGAAAGCTTTATCTCAAATTCATATGAAAGCAGTTTGCTTGAGAGTTAGAATGAGAATTAATGGAGAGCTTAGAAATACATTAATTCTAAAGTGCTGCTTCAGAAATGATATTTCATATGGCAAATATTTTTAATGAGAAGTTCATAAGAATGGAGTATTGAGGTTTTTTAAAGGTCAAAATTAATTGTTCCTCTTTTAATGGTGAAAATGCTATCAGTTTAAACCTGAAACTGAATTACTGCTTTGGGATCCAGATTAAATGTTATGGAAGTATCAGTTGTAGTGATTGTAGTGATAAGTCTTATGAAAATACTTTGTAAGGTGGAGCATCAAATGGCAGCCTCCCTACATCAATATTCATCTTATTAAAAGCTGATACATTATTGCAGTAGGAAATGCCATACTTTTCTGCAACCTAGCAGTCAAAATAGAGTAGTATTGTCCTTTTTAATGACCCTTTCAAAATTGATTGTCTAATAATAGGTTGGCCTTGTCAGGGGCTAGCAGTGCCTAACATGCAAGCCACATATACATGATAAAATTATTGTATAAAAGTTAATTTCATGTTTTGCATTTTTTCAAGAAGGAGAAACTTTTATACACAAACCAGCCTATGAGAAAAAGACCAGCAGCTTATTTAAAATTGTATATATTAGTAATTTTTATAACCTTTATATGCAAGGCAGAATTAATCCCAATTTTTTAAAAATGCAGTCCCTGAAAATTTTCTTTTGATGCCTAATTACAATTGTATGCAGCTCTGAACCGTCTAAATATTAAAGGTTATAAATAAGTTATGTATGTAATGCACAAACGTATACACAAACACTCTTTTTTTTTTACTTAGGCCATCTTTTAATTAAGATAGATGGTCTTGCTTAACCCAGGATTAATTGCTGTTTATTTTCAGGTTAGAATCCAGTTAGATATTCTTAACAATTTTTTTTGATCAAATAAAAAAATTCTTAGTATAACTTCTCTGTATTCAAAGACTATGCACATGCAGGGATTAGTAACAGAATTAACATAAATGCTTTCTTAACAAAGTTTATTATTTCATCTGTTCTGAAACCTTTGTTTCCTTAAGAATGTCCTCATCGTGTACAGCATATTTGGTTAGGATCTCAGAAATCTAGCTGTAACCTCAAAAATTCTCCACTTGCTAAAAAAGTTATACAGAAATAAATGGCTTTAATCTAAATTTAAATCACACAATTAAAGCCCATCTCCTCTTCCTTTTTTTTCCTTTTTCAATGGGGATTACTTGTAGCAATCTGTGTATGGCTATGCAGCAATAAGTCCTGTGGTTTAGTCTGATGTATTGTAACCACATACAGACCTAAATGTTCTAAATTAAGTCTCATTAACTTAATTTGTCATCCTATATGCACATTTCCAAGAATCAGTCCACATGTTTGTTGTGCATTATACCTTTAGCTTCTAGCTTTTAGTATCCTTGTGCAACACAGGTATAGATACTGGATTCTTTCTCTGCATCCTTTATGTTCAGCTACTTAGCATAGGACCTCTCGGGATCATAACGTTGAGGAAGTAAGAAGAGAAATAATTTTATATGCAAGGTTTAAGGTATTTGTGAAGTAAGTTTGGTTAGATTTCACTGATCAAATATATTTTCCAAAGGCATGTGGCATCCTTCTAAACATTGTAGGGGAAATGGTTATTAAACTCAAGAAAACAAATATGAATCTCAGTTACAGGCAATTTCTCTGAGATTGTGATATTAAAGGACAATTAAATGGACAATTTGTACTTATAAGCTAACACATTTGATCAAACCCTTTAATCTCTTTAATATCAAAAACTACATTGTCGTGAAAGCATGCTTGATTATACTTATGCCCAAAGGTTTGGGAGTTACTGCTGATATAGGAATGAAATCAACTTGTTAATGATACTCAAAGACAAAAAAATTATCTGTTGTGTATTTAAATGCATAAGTACTTAAGGGACTAATTTAACCTCATGGAAGCAGAGAGATTGCAAGGACAAACGACTTATAAACATTTCCAAGAATTACTGGAGATGAGATTTATTTGTATGTAACAGAACACAACAGTGTTAACATATTGGTCTACATTTCTAAAGCAAAAACCAAAACTATCTTGCAATTTTCTACATTGAAACCTTGATTGTATTGAAAAGTCAGTCCAGTAAGTCCTAAGTATATAACAATAAACACTATGCCCTGAGATCATTTTTGGGGAAAGAAGAGACAATTTATCAAAATTCCAAAGATAGATTTTTCAGGACCGTTATCCCTAATTTTTGCAAAGTGAGAGTTTGAAATTTCTGTATTAGGAACAGATATATTTTAATTCTGAAATATGTTTGTGACTATATAAGGGCAAAATTGCATGTTTCTTTAACTGGGTAATTTTTATTTAGTAGACTTAGTCTAATTAAACACAGTAAATGGATATTTTGTAGTATTACTTGGGTTGGGGAAAGAGAGGCATGAATTTATAAGATAGTAAGGAATTGTATTAATTCTGTGTTAAATCGACAAAGGTGAGAAATTCTAAATGAATGGCTTGGGGCCTAATGTGTTGTTTCTGAAGTGGGGATGGTACATACTCCACCTCTTCATACCACCTCATATATGTGGCAATCACAGCCCAGGCATATAATCTCTTAAACTGTGAGATGATTCTGTATCAGTTACATTTTTTACTTTTTTCAAAATTACGATGTGGTGTTCTTGGGATTTTTCTGCCAAGCCTCTAAATCCTGCCTATTCAACATAAAACTCTGCAGAGTTTGTTCTATATACTGTTTTGTAAATTAATGAATACTCTTATTTAAATACTCATATTACTCTTTATATGAAGAACTTAAAAAGGATATTACTCTGTTCATACTTCAATTCAATGAACAAATAATGTAAAAATTTTATAAGTAAATTCCCTTGAAACTTTATTATTCGGGGGGCATTTTTCATTACAAAAATAACAAATGATATACTCTTCAACAACCTTTCAATTTTTTATTATTACTACTTTTTTAGAAGGATCACGTTAGGATAGTACAATGCTATTTCATATTATAAATCTTCTGTACCTTTTGATGCAGGATGTGTTCTACCATCTGAGATGTCTAGAAAGCACCAAGCCTTCATCTTGGAGGGAGGGAGGAACGAATGAAGGTTGGGGAGATCCCTAATATTTTGAGCATTGGAGTATATATGCTGTATGAATGCTCTAGTTACCCCGCTACCTTTCCATACAACATTGGCCCTTTAGACCAATGTTTGTGACCCCTTCAGCTTGAATGCTTGAAGAACATTACTAATAGCTGCCAGAGTTGCCTCAAACTACAAGATAGATGGCATATAAATTTAATAAATAAAATTATTGGCAAGGGAGGAGAGGGGTGTTGGCAGCTTAGCATATAAATATCATACATATATTCTCCTTTATTAGTTTAGCATATATTTTGGAACGGGCAGTATGGTCACAGGAAAGTATGGATTTTCTGAGCTGTCAAGCTGTAAGTCCTACTTTAATTGCATTGCTTGTTCCTAGCAGCAACAGATCCTTGTTTTGAATGTTGTTTTGTTTTAGCATTTCCTCACTTTCTCCTACATCTCAGAAAAACTGAACAAACAATATAGGTAGGGTCAATTATGTTCCCCTATGTAATCTTAAATATAATTAATTTGGTCTGGTTTTGTTTTTTCCTTAGTAATACTAAAGAAGTTGCATTTCTGGGTTTGCTAAATAAAGTGAATATTTCCCTGTATTTGGATCCTAATTATGGCATTGTGTCTATCATCTTTTTGTTAATTCCATTCTCCATTCTTCTTTCAGCTCTGGTGAATGCTGTTCTCATAATACAATTTCAACCGTTTACTAAGTCCAATCTGGGCAGCTCCATTGTACTATTCAGACATTTTTGATATAGAAACTACTCATTTTTATGACATTTTGTAGGAAATATATCTATAGTTAAGCCCTGGAAAATCCTTGTGCTATCTTGAAACAAATCAATCACCACACCATCAATTCTCTTTCTATGGCTAAATGGAATATGTGGCGTGAAAACTTGCAATACTGATGCAGTATTAAATTTGTTTGATAGAAGCAATTGAATTTCTGTTTAAAATAATAGGGATGGAGGAGGGGAAATAAGGTGCATAGAAATTGCTCTGCAATATTCTTCTGAAATATATGAAACACTTATTCAATAATACTTGTATTTAAAATTAAATGCCCCCCTCCCTTTGTGGGGTAGCCAAATGTACTTGTTCCACAAGATGTTGCAGTAAAATCAATAGATTTTTAATACTTTGTTTATGCAGCTAGTTTTCATGCTTGGTCAATTCAAACATAGGTTTATAATGTTCTCCAAGAGATGACTCGTGGATTTAATTAGTCAAGCCAGTTAAGAATGCCTGTTTATTCTTGACAACTTCAGCTTTTCACTGCAGAAGAATTTTTGAATATGCCTGAATTATTTCACTGAAGTCAAATTCTCATTATTTCATCTTTGCTATACATTTTCTCTTCTTATCTAACTTCTTTTCTTTGGTTAGTAGCAGATTTTTCTCACTGTCCAGGGACTCTTTTATACATTAGAATAGGTTGAATTGTTTTGTTTCGGGTCTTTTCATTTGGGATTTTTTCTTCTCTTTTATATAATTCAACCTATGTATGCTTGTAATCTTTATTTCTTAGTTCATTGTACAGATGTGAAAATAATTTGGTAAAATTAGTGTCCTTTAACTGATAAAGAAATCGGATTACTGTTACTTGAAAAAACTTCTAATTTTATGAGTGACATTTTGAAAAGTGTACTTTCTCTATTACTTAAAAGGAGTATGATTTAGGTGCAATGCTCAATGGTTTGAACAGGAAGACTATAAATATGCATTTCCTCTTCTGGATAGATTTGAGGGGAATCCATGACACTTGGCTAGGATAAGCCATGACCCATATTCTGAATGAAAACCTTCTTCTGAAATATTCTCAACCTTTTTTCTGAATTATTGTTCCTCTATATATTCCAGAGAAGAGAAACAAGGCTCATTCATAAAATCATTGTTTGACTTTGAATGTGTGATATCCCTATTAATTTGACTTGAATGTGTGATATAATGCACACTGAGGTGCTTAATGTCTCACATTTGAGTGGTTTGTACGATAAACCATAAAACAGTATTTAAGTTCATTTTGCTCCTTTTCATTTGTGAATTTGTCAAAACAGATACCGTAGTTAATCCACAAATAAAGTATTCCTGTTTTAAAGGAAAATTCTCCATTCCCAACCTATGTGAACTTCAGTCTTACCAAATACTATAAAATTGCACACTAAGTATTCTGGAGACATGACCTATGAAAACATCCTAAAGATACCAAGATACCAGATTTCCTAATTTGCTCCCTCAGTATCTAACATCTAAAGGAAAATCAGGTTTCATCTCTGAACAGCCTTTCTAGCTTCTGCTAAGCTCTGAAATATGCTGTTTGTTACTTGGTTCAATGACCTTTAAATATACTAATTTTACAGGTTAGTGGTTTACCTGCTTCTGACATTGTCTTCCTACAGTACTCAATGAACAGTAACAACAAATAGAAAACATGAATTGGAGAATGGGCTAATGCTGATTTTCTCAACCATGCTGTATTCCAGAAATCCTGCATTGCAACTTCCATCTTTCCATTTAGAAAGGAAAAAAAAGAAAATGGCCACCAAATTTTTTTTTTTAAAAAAAACTTTTTAAAAAATGGTCTTAATTGCCACTAAGGCAAAAAATAAATGGAACAAATAATTATAAAATTATAAATATAAATGAAATAAATAAATGGAAAAATAAATGAAATAAATGGAACAAGACCCTTATCAAAGGTGTTACAAATTTTTTTTACACAATTTAATCCATGTTAAAGCCATTCACTTGTAGATAAAGACCCTTTTTTGACAGCATATTGTTTGGAATTTTCAGCAGAAGAAACACTTTTTAAAACTTTTTAAAATTAGTTTTCTTTCACTTTAAAGCTAAAGCCAAAATAACAAAGTCAATATAACAAAAAGTCTATTAAAAAGAAATTCCATTAAAAGAATGGAAGATCTGTAGCTTTGGAGAGGGCAATAACTTCACAAATTTAATTCATATTTGAAATTATTTTTGTTCATCTTTTGTCCCTTTTTAATGTTTTACATTTTAATAAAATACCGTAGAGCCAGTTTCTCCATTAGGTCACTGAAAATAGGTAATTTTTGCTATTTTTCTGATTATTAACAATGTTGTTTTGACTTATATTTCTTTGGGAGAAAAAAGACATGAGGAATAATCTACAAAGAAGTATTTTGCATATTTATCTTAACTCTGCTTATCAGTTAAATCATTTCAATGAAAATGCTGTCAGAATAGCTTGAAGGGGAGCACTAGTTTAATTTAGATGTTTCTGTTTAAAAAGACTTGGTATGTCTAACTGAAAAAAAGTTATAAGGCTGGAAATTAATGAATACATCATTTTGTTGTGCAAGAAAAATATTTTAGGCATATACTTTGGAGAGAAAGAAAAATGGAAGGCAAGGGGAATGAAAAGTGCAGTATCTGAAGATCAAATCAATAGTAAATATTGTCCTCATTTTGTCCCCTGAAGATTAAACTATTTCAGAGTAATTTGTTTTGTTTTCTTAATAAAGTTTTTATTACTACTTTTACGTTGTTCTATGATCCAGAAACACATTTCTAAAATTTGATGTCTTTATTTCCATTAAATTCTTCGCTAAATTTACCTTATGATTTTTATATTCCTTAAATAACCTGCAATCCTTCATTTGAGAGTTCTTATTTTTTTACCTACATAAATTTTGAGACATGAGCTTTGCATTATATGTATGGCATTTATATTATAACACATTGTGAACCTTGTAAATGATGTCTGCCTATCTGCCTATCTACTAGATTATTAATTATTTTGTAGTAGACTGGCATACCCATAAGGGAAATGGCCTTCTGTTTGGGAAGTCTTGTGGCAATCTTGTATTGTGATAAAATGTTCCTTATGCTAAAATCACTGCCAACTAGAAGTATTGGATGTAGGGAAAATGGAAGTAAATTTCTTTTCATTAAGGAGGCCACCAAGTTGAAAAAGGCTACAGATGGAAAGTTAAGGGGGAATATTGAAGGAAGGTAAAACTAAGTACTCATGAACTTCAGAATGTCTGTGGAGATTCTCAGTTATCCAGGTCATGGTTGTCCCAAAAGTGCTTTTCCAAAAGGCAACTGAACATTGTTTTTTCCTTGAAGACATTTTGCTTCTCATCCAAGAAGCTTCTTCAATTCAGACGAAGCTAAATGTCTTCAAGGAAAAAACTAAGCCCAGTTGTCTTTTTGAAAAAGTACCTTTGGGATGAACTTCAGAACTTTATGATTAAGAAATACTTATTTAGGAATTGTCATTGTATCCCTCAGTGTTGGAAACCTCCATCTGAGAGCTTAGGGCAGAAAGTGCATCTAGTAACTCTTCCAAAGCCTTCAGTGACTGGGATGGGTGTTGCAATTGCTGCAACCCTAAACTTTCTTACTTGGAAGTGAATCCTATAAAAATGGAGGGGATTTACCTCCAGAGAATTGGATGGGAGAGGTGATTTGTTGCTATTTTGATGCTGCTTTGAATAGTTTGTGAGATTGTGTGGAGACAATGTGGCATGTGCTAAAACCTTATAGACATTCCTGTGCCTCTTCCTTACCCCCTCCCCTTCCCCTTTCGGTGAATTGGCCTCTTATGTTCCTCTGGGGATATTCTACATATTAATGCATGTATGTAGATGAGGATATAATTTGAAAGATTCTGCATGTTTATAGTTTCTAAAGTAACTTAGGGGCCTCCTGTTCTGCAGACAGCCCCTCCCCCCACCGTCTGAATCATCAATACCCATTGAAGTCAATGCAAAGATTCCAAGGGGTCAAATGAATCTTCTCAACCAGCTATTATGCTCCCTTTTTGTTGTGCCTCATTTAAAGTGGTGCTTTTTTTTGCTCCTTATTTCCTCTGCTTTTAATTTTTTTAGGTACTGTATATAACATGAATCTATTATGCACATATCCTACCCAATGGGTAGAACAAAATGAAATCCATTTTTAGTATTGCAAAATATTCTGATAACTGTTTGAGTACAAAAGGACTTACAACTTGATAACTGCTTACGCCTCTTGTTTTGTTTTGTAAGAGAATTTGCAATGGAATGCATACAGAAAGTGAGAAATCCAAATATTTTTATTTTATTATAAAATAACCAAATGATGTAAAGGAAAAAGAAAGCCTAGAACAAACCACTTTCACCTAATCTATGGACAGTAATTTGATACATGAATCTTTATAAGGCAGTGGTTCTCAACCTTTTTAATGCCGCGACCCCCAACCGGTCGTAAGTCGAGTACTACTCAACTGGTCGTAAGTCGAGGACTACTCAACTGGTGCAGCACCGTTTGCAGAATGGGACTTTTGGTGGGCTCAGCAGGGCAGAGACAGCCTGGACAATTCCTATTGGCTTTTGAAAGCCAATAGAATTAGACTCTATTCAAGAGAGTCTATTCTATTGGCTTTCAAAAGCCAATAGAATAAAAGTGAGTAGCACAGCTAAGGAAAGGGAAAAAATGGTGGACTGCGTTGTTTGGCAACCCCCGTGAAATGGTCGTTCGACCCCAAATGGGGTCCCGACCCACAGGTTGAGAACCACTGTTCTAAGGAGACTTTTGTGTATGTTTATATTTGACACTTTTTTAAAAAGCCAATTTTAATTGTGGGTAGCTGCTATTCCCCCCCCCCTAAAATTGGACAGTATTCAACCCATTATTTATTATTCCCTATCAATCTCACTATGGACCAGATCTCATGAGCCATTGTTTTTTAAATACCAATATTTTTAAAAACTATATTATGAACCTGGCTTCAAATCATCCCTGAAAAATATAAGGTGTATAATTTTACAAAATGAAATTTTTTAAAGATGTCATTTCTACTTTGAAATTTTCAAAGTGGTGTTTTAAGGGGAACATATTTGTACTTAGTGTACATATTTTATATATATATATATTGTATGTTCACAATACATGCAAAAGTGTACTCCGAGATGATCTGAAACAGCATTCAGCATTCATAGCATCCCCAAAACAATATATCTACATATCTCCATTTTCTAGGTTGCCCACTCCACGTACTTGCTGTATTTTTAGTTTGATACCCAACATTGTCATATTTGTGTCTTTCCCTATATTTATGTGTGATATTTTTTTTAAAAAAAAGGTTTGCCTGAATCTTACATGTTGATATTTGAAATACTTTAAATTACAATGACTTCTGAAGAATATGGATTACAATTTTTTTGTGTTTCCCTCTTCAGGTTCTCTCATTTCCTGGTTGATGACTTAAATATTAGAAACATTATCCTGAATCTAAGTAGTAATATAATATAATAATAATAAAGTTGGAAGGGACTTTGGAGGCCATCTAGTCTAACCCCTGCTCAGACAGGAAACCCTACACCATTTACAAATGGCTGTCCAGTCTCTTCTTAAAAACTTCCAGAGTTGGAGCATTCACAGCTTCTGGAGGCAGGTTGTTCTGCTGGTTAATTGTTCTGTCAGGAACAATTTAGTACATTTTGGATGCTTCAGTTTTCATTTGGAGAATGAGATGAGTTTTAGTTTCTGGATTACACCAGAAAAAAAACACGCTTCTGGCTGGCAGATACTGATCTCAATGTGATTGCCTTGGCAAGGCAAGTTTGCCATCTGTCCATGCCAAGGTCTGCTTTGAGGGCTTGTCTTGATGGGCAAAATATATTTCAGAAGAATAAATCAGATTTTAACACTGAAAACAACTGAATGTCTTTTTCCCCGTTAAGAAGTTCATTCATCCTATGATCCAGCAATGGGAGGCCATTTCATTGAAATAGTGCCTATTGATTTGCTGGGTTTCTAATTTTGAATGGTATTTTAAACATAGAGAACTCCAAGTTTAACACAGTAGAACTGTCCCACTCTGCTCATATTTTAAAATTAGTCCCTAGCTGCTACAAATTAATGGCTCATGCCACACACACTCTACTGTTGTCATTATAGGTTGGCTACCTCCCCCCCCCATACCTATTAGTAGTTTGGCCATCTTCTAGCTACAAGCAGAACAGTCTCAAGTACATGTGTTAAGAGTAGTAATAATGACTGCCATGAACTGAAGTTATCACTGAACTATTTGTGGGAAGGATTGAGCTGAAAATGAAATATTAAATGGTCTTCACAGGGCAAGTATAGTCAAAAGAAGTTTAGAAATATGTTCTTGTCCTATTCTTACTAGATTATTGATTAGAACTCCGGGTGTTTCAGTGGATTATACATCTGGAAGAGATCAGGCTGGGAAAGTTACATTGGTTTACCTTAATCTTTATATGTACTTTCACTAGAGTTTTGCTAATATCATCATAGATACAGACAATACTTATGTCCTATACTAGGTTACTAACTGATATACAACCCTCCTGTAGTGAGAAGTTTTCATCTACAAATGGACTGTTCTGTTCCTTTTCTTTCCACAAGTGATGCAATTAGGTTCACACAAAAAAAATCAAATATGCCTAATCAATTGGTATTAACTGAATAGGGACAGGAAATTCTAACTTTTATTGGTTTGAGGTATCAGTTTTGTGTTTACCCTGCATTATGGCAACGCTTTGCACAGTACAGAAAGCTTGCATCT